TAAATAGATACATATTATAGACAAATTACACCCAGACATAGAACAACCGTGCTCATCACACAATATTAGTCAGGGTCACTAACCACTAGACTAACAGGCCAGTCAAATATTCGTCATCGATAACAATTGAATCCCGTAAACCAAGCCTGCCTGACTTGCTCTTGTTCCAACAGTCTATCTGTCAATTGAGGCAATTAAGAAGCAAGAAGCACTCGGATTGCGTCGAGCCAATCAATCGCTATGTTCTACTCTGACAAACCAGGATTGTAGTGTCTCAATATTGCATGTAGTTAAGGATTGAGCTCTTTGGGAAAGTAAATAGTTCACTACCTTATTCTCTTTTTGTTGTTAACTAAGTTTTATTTCTTTTGTACCCATAGAGCAACACAGGCCGCGGGCTACCGTGTTGCCCTATGTTTGTACCTATTTAGTAAGTTTTAGTTCAATTAACAGTTGTTGAAGTGAAAACTTCAGGCGCGTTGGGCATTTTTGAACAACAAACAAAATAATGTATTTTATGAGAAAATACCTGTTACCGTTACCGACACCTCTGTTGAAGTGAAAACTTCTTTAGGCGCGTTGGCCATTTTTTCGGTAACGGTAACAGTGTCGCAAGTTCAATGGTTGGCCATCTCAAAAAATACATTCTTTTGTTTGTTATTCAAAAATGCCCAACGCGCCTAAAGAAGTTTACACTTCAACACAGGTGTCGGTAAAAAAACACCGATTTTCCATCAGCGTCGAGCCAGCCCATTTGTGCCGAAGAATGGCCCTCTCAAGTAAAATGTACTCCGGTACTCGGACTCGAAGTGATATGGCCTTACAGACTACCGATGTTAAGTACTTAATTGTTTCGTTGCATTTCACCGAGTCAATAAGATAACAGGATAAAAAAAAGACCCCTCTGTGGTTTGTTTCGGCTTTTCTTCACAGAGTAAGTCTTAAGAAATGCCGGCTCCATCTAGCTGTAAAGTCCGACTTGTAAAAATATCTGAAAAGATTTACTTCAAGAAATAAATTTCATTTCATTTCATCATTTCATATCAATTTTATTTCAAGCAGCTCTCTCAATAATCCGGCAACCGTATCATCATCAACTTCAGCAACTGTTGAACTGGTTATCCAGGCTTATGGCTCAGATGGTAAAGAATTTCAGTTCAGCTGTAATCTAGTATTAGCTACTCATTATCAACAGCCATTAATAGTCCACTGCTTTACATAGGCCTCTTCTGAGAAAGAAGATTTTGGCCTACTTTACCACGCTCGCCCGGCGGGTTGGTATAGAATTCGTTTTAAGTTTTCTTCTCTTTGCAGTATGGTAACGGTAAAGTTTAAAAAAAAAATACAGCTACAGGATGCTTGTTCACAATTTTTAGGTTCAAATTAAAGTAATTAACGACTAAACCTCTGAACTGACAATAGGATTCTCTTGAGTCTTGAAATAAATCTTATATGTATCTTCGTCTTCTCTGTTTCTTATCTTTAAATTATCTTTAAATTATATTATTACAGTATTAGTTTGTGTTTTTAATAATGACCCTGCCTAATTTGTTTAAACACAAAATTCTTCGAATGCGAGTTCGATTCCACAAACGTTTAACTTATTGTATAACCTAACTGAGATATACCCTCATTCATTCCATCATCACCATCTCACGAACATAAAAAAGGTAATATGTCACTCCACTTACCTGCAAAGAGCATCAGAAACCCCGTTGCGTGGTCTTTATACTTATTACTGTCGTATCTTTGCCACCTTAGTGGTATAAACAACTTCATAAATAACATTATCACAACGAGTTTCTGTACAGTACAAGATAATGAAGGCAACTCCTTTCACAGCGCAGCGTTAGCGCTGCTAAGCGGGTGTGTCTACTACTAATCATATTACTGTCTGAAGGCACCCTGACACCTGCAGCAAGAGGCTCTATGGCTTTTGATTATTGCGGATAGTGCCTGACAACAAAAAGTCATACTTCTTTTATAAAGGACTAACCAGACTGATAAGATAGTATTTTTTACTACTTTGAAACTCTAATTACTAAGCGTAACTTATGTCATTTTGCGCTTATTGGGTTTCAATATATTTTGAGTATTGGGTGTCAATGTTCTATTTTTTTTTTGTTTTTTTTTTATGATATAGGGGGCAGACGAGCATACCCGTATGCTCGTCTGCCCCCTATTTAAAGTGATCATCGCCGCCCATGAACGTTTGCAACTTAGGAGTCACGAACGCGTTGCCGACCTTTTGTAGGAGTACGGTCCTTAAATACCGCAGACGATAACCCGTTCCACAGATTGGAAAATAATCAACCGGATCACTTTTAACAGGGTTTTCTGTTTCAAAATTCTTTTTATGGGAGAATAGGGATACCTACTATTTTAATTACTCCGCAACATTAAAACTACTAACATTTAAAAACCAATTACTAATATGTATTAACATAATAATTTACATATTTTCCTGTCGAGTCTATGATATATTAGACTCCATTGTCTCCCTACAACACGCAAAGTTATACTGTAATTTTCGTAAAGGTGAATTGCAGATTTTGCACTGAATAATAACTAAGTTTCAGTTTTCGCTTCTAGTTTTCATATAGAATTTATTATCTCTTGTACTGTACGCGACATCACAGCTGTTTGGTATATTCTTAAGTTTCTTGCAACATTTAAGAATCAGAAAACTTCAACAAACAAGATAAAGTGCTTTTTAATCGAAGTTTCATATTAAAAATTATATATTATTTCGAAGTTAACTTTGTAATTAATTAATACCATGTCTGCGAATTACGTCTGCGTAACATTTACGTTTTAAAGTTCACTGAAATGGTTTACTCATATTACTTACAAAGGTAAGGCTCGAAAAAGATTTGATTATAATTACCTCAAGAGTTTAATTTTGTCTGACACAATGTTCTCCAGATGAAATTAGTTCTAAAAATTAATTTTCCTAATTTAATTTTAGATGTACTTAGCTAACATTCGTGCCAAGCTATACAATACTGGTAGTATTTTAATCCTTACTCATTTTATTTAATTAAAAAGATTTTTATGGGAGAGCGAGATATTTTTATGGTTCTTAGCTCTACCAGAGTATTACCATGATCTAACAAAAAACTATTGTTAAGCAATTCATTCGTCGCTTTCCAGTGAGTGAGGTTACAGGAGGAGTAAATCCCACTGCTGGATGTCTTAATAACAGCAGTTCCCAGATCCCTCCTATTTCAGGCGCAGAGTGGCACACCGTGTGGTTTAACTCGCTCCGATTCCGACACACCACCCCGCCGCGAAACTCCCACACGTAAAAAAAAAGAAGTAAATCCCTCTTGGTTAACCATTGGAATGGTTAACCATTCTATTCTGGGCACTTGTATCTTTTACAGGTATTTTTGAACGGTGGTAGTCACTTTCGAACAGGTGAACTGTCTGGGCGTTTGGTAGAACGCGCCATTGTCATTATGTACCAAAGTATGGCACGATCGAGTACAAAGTTTATTAGTTAATATGGTTGGGATAGGGAAAAAATGAACAGGGGGAGTCTCCCTGGTGGTCGGGCGCATTGAGGCGCTGGGCTTACGGGTGGCCCTAGATAAGACGGAGGCCCTGTTATTTCATGGGCCCCGTCGTGGTCCACCCCCTGGCGCCTCAATCGTGGTCAACTCGGTCCTCGTACCGGTTCGGGCCCAGATGAAATATCTGGGCCTGATCCTCGACGGGAGGTGGCTCTTCGACGAGCACTTCCGACAGCTTGCTCCAAAGCTGGTCGGCGCTGCGTCTGCCCTAGGGCGACTTTTGCCCAATATGGGTGGACCCAGCGTCGCGACAAGACGGCTGTACACGGGGGTTGTTCGGTCAATGGCACTGTACGGTGCACCGGTGTGGGCGGCGGCTCTGACCGCCCAGAATAGGGTACGCCTCTGGCGCCCTCAGAGGGTAATGGCGGTCAGAGCCATACGCGGTTACCGCACCGTTTCGACGGAGGTGGCGTGCGCGTTGGCCGGAACTCCCCCGTGGGATTTGGAGGCGGAAGTGCTCGCCGAAGTTTATCGGCGAGTGGCTGACTCCCGGGCGGAGAGCGGATTTCGCCCTCCGCCCGAGGATGTGCGCGAGTGGCGCGAAGCCGCTCGCCGAGCCACGATGGCTCGTTGGTCGATCCGGCTGGAGACTCCACGCGCTGGCTTCGCCGCCGTGGAGGCTCTCCAGCCGGTCATCGCCGAGTGGGCAGGGCGGCAGCACGGGACCCTTTCCTTCCGGCTGACGCAGGTGCTTTCCGGGCACGGTTGCTTCGGGAAGTACCTGCACTCGGTCGCTAGGAGGGAACTGAGTCCCGCCTGCCACCACTGCGACTGCAGTGAGGACTCGGCCCAGCACACGCTGGCGGTCTGCCCCGCATGGGCGGCGCAGCGCCGGGCCCTCACTGCAGTCATCGGAGTGGATCTCTCGCTACCGGCCGTAGTACGCTCCATGGCCGGTAGCGACAGTTGTTTTACCGCGGTCGCAACCTTCTGCGAGGTAGTAATCTCGCGGAAGGAGGCGGCGGAGAGGGCCCGGGAGGACGACCTCCACTCGGACCCGATCCGCCGCTGGCGAACCGGGCGGCGGAGGCCCGCCTATCACAGCCTCATGCCGCCCTGAGTGTGGCCGCGGGTGGACGGGGTGGGTTTCCCCTCCACCCGCATTAGTTGGCCAGCCGCGAGGGGGCGGCGTCCGCGTGTGCCGGACGTCGCCTAAAGAGAGGAACATCAACATTGAGACGGGGCCCGCACCAGGAGCGGGCTGGCGCTAGGAGGGGTCCGGATGTCTTAACAACAGCTGTTCCCGGATCCCTCCTGTTACAGGCGCACAGTGGCACACCGTGTGGTTTTAGTCGGTCCGAGTCCGACACACCACCCCGCCGCAAACCCCGGAGGGGTGACGGTCCGAGGGGATTTCCACACGTTAAAAAAAAAAAAAAAAGGGAAAAAATGAAAGTCTACCAATATGTTTATTTTCCAGTTTTAGCCATTCTGTTTCTCCTTCTGTTCTTTCTCGTCCTTCTTCTTTTGTAATTCCAATAAGAATTTCAATTTTTTCTCGAAGAAATTCGGTGGATATGTCACTATTTCGCTTTTGTACGTTCCGGGAGCCATCTCCACTCTCGGCTTAGTTTTTGGAGACGATCGTCTTGCAAAACTTTGTAAAGTATCCATAACGTACTGAAAAGCAAAGGTCTTATTATATCAGATACATCAGATCAACTGGCTTTGGGCTTTCGAAATTCTTCAATCAGTTTGTTGTTTGTAATTGTACGCATAGTAAATATAAGAAAAAGAAATTTTCTTGAAAATAGATGATTAAACAGTAAATATTATATTCATATATTATATTCATATGTATTATTCAATATTTCGATATAAAGATACGTAATGTCATCACCCCTATTCATCCCGTGGGTATCGTAAAAGTCGACTAAGGGAAAAAACTACGCTAGACAACACGGCCTCAATTCTGCTATTTTATGTTCACGCCAAGCCACTGTCATACCACTGACACGCTATTGAGATGCCATCGAGTGGCCATTTGCATCGGTATAAATATCGGTAGTCTACACTAACTCAGTGTCTTTACAGTGGCGATGGAATGGCAGTGGCTCATCAGTGGTGATATCAAAAAGATTGCCATATTTGGAAAAATAAATAAATCGTTTCCTTATAATTTGAAAATATATTACGTTTTTTTTGAGGAAATGATTTCCCATAAATATCGCACAAAGTAATATCTACATATGTATTCCGTGCAAACAGTCTACTCACACTAACACAAGTTGGCGGCCGGGGGAGGGGAGGAATCGCGAGCTTCAGCTGTTTGCTTAATTGCATTGCAGTTTTTGGCCGTATGCATTATTTATTTAATTGTTTTCGGTAAAATGATCTGTTTACTCATTTTGATATCATTTTTCATAATTTTTAACCAAAGAAAGGAAAGTTAAAAAAAAGAATTGAGAATGATGGTCTGAATACCCTATTTCAGTATTCCGTAGAATGTCTCTTACACCCTGTATGGTACAGAGTAGAGAGAGTATAAATAGAGATTTAAAAAATGACACAAATGAAATGCACTATAAATGTCTAAACTAAAACTGTATGTATAATCATTCAATAACTATTTATTAACAAAGTGTTTATTAATGACAAAATTCCATTATTACCACTAAGGCTTTTCTGTAACCTGTAACCACGATTTTTAACTCGATTTTCATGGGATAGGAGCTACATTTATGACACAAAAGTTAAATAAATACCTGGGGCGCCATCCCAGCAAATGGTTGTACCATTTCTTGTAACGCCGCAGCTGCATCATTTGCACCTACGATATTCATCTGTAACGCAAAATTTATATTGTTTTTTTTTTTAAATATATGGTCAAAGTTCACTACTTGAGTTCATAGGACCCTTTGCTTCCAATAACTGTACATGTTTTCATGGTTATCAATATAAATTGTTTATTCAGAGTTCAGTCATTAAACTAAGCTCATACTATACCTAATCATATTCATGGTAAGAATCGTGTATTTGACTGCAACGTCATGGGTCGTGGGTTCGATCCCGTTCAGTGTCTTGGTACTTCTGTGTATTTAGAAACCATATAAATGTTATCTTAAATATTTAATCCGTGTTCTACAAACTATATCAATCAATACGGTCGATATAAAAGTGTAACATGCCCTGGAGCATTTTTATAAATAGCCATTTTCATTTTGCCTCACTTAATTATAAAACAATACTTGAAAGTTCCTTTCATTTAATTAAAGGATAAAAAAATTACCTAATACCTTCAATAGATTGTGGTCCGCAGTGGCTCTCGTATGTAATTTATCACCATTTGAATCAGTTCGGTTACTTGTGGTTACGGCAATCGCCAGATCGTTACCAACGTTGTGGTCTTTGTTTGACCCTACGGTTGCCCGGAAAATTTTCAACGATGGGTCTATACCAAAAATGGAGTTAACGAAACTAGGTATGTTTATTTCCAATGAAACCATTTCTTTTTTACCAGAAACTACAGACAATATAAATATCAATCTTATAAAAGTCAGGATACAATCTGAAAAATAAAAACAAAAATCTTTACATCATCAATAGTCTTCTTTTCTTCTTTTTAAAAGACAACTCCCGCATTAGGAATATATCCTGTGTCGCAGGGGACTTTACAAACATACATGAAACGGACACAAAGAACACCCAGACTCAGAACAACGATTTGTGGATCACACAAAGTGTTGTCCCATGTGGGGTTTGAACCCACAACACGGCAATAGGAAGCGGCGTGGTGACCGCTTAAACCACTACACCCGTGCAGTCAAACCGTCAATAGCTTTTAAATAGAGTGTTTTTTTTTTGTATGATACAGGGGCTAAATGAGCACGCGGGTCACCTAATTTTGTTTTTAAACTGATTAATATTGTAATGGAGGCCTTAAAGCCTGTCTTCCTAGTTTGATGATTATTAAGTGATTATGTTAACTATCTTTTGATTGCGTCTCCGCCCGCGTGTGTGTGCCCGCGATAATGAGTAGCCTATGTTACTTGCCGAAAATGTAGCTTTTCATTAGTAAAATAATTATTAAAATCGGTTTAGTGGTTTAGACGTGAAAGAAACTAAAGTCAAGGACTCAGAAAAAGTACTATTCTGCTATTAAAACGAGCGATCCCGCGAGTATAAGCTAGTTACATAGCGGCTCGACCCGAGTAATTAGTTATTAGTTCCTAATGCGGAAGTTGCATAATTCAGAATGCGGGCGTTGTCTTTAAAAAAATGAAAACGAAAAAAAACGTTAGGTAATAATAATAATTAGTAAAACAAATATAATATTATCTACATCTATAAAATTATTTAGAAACTTACTTAAACAAAACATTTCCGTTATGGTGTGAAAATTAAAGGCGTTTAAAATGCCTTCTGTTAACTTCCAATCGACAATGAACTCTAAGAGATAATAATTATAGGAAAACCCAATCTGTCTGTGAGAAAGCAATAAAAAAATTATGATCTTAGTATCCGAATCATAATCTCATCAAGGTTTGGATGTGTGTTTTAATTAAAGTTGAAATTGTGTTTCAAATATTTCCATCACTAACGGTGAAGTTTGTAATTTACCAATTTGCCGAAATTCACAGCGTGGCAATTTGTTTTCAGTTCTGCATTTAATTTTCCTTTTTTATCGATACTAGGAATCGACTATAATCGACTGCACAGATGGCGTAGGGGTTTAAGCGGTCACCTCACCGCTTCCTACTGCTTTGTGGTGTAGTTGTGCTTGTGTGCTGTAGGTCCGATGCTCACATGGGACAACACTTTGTGTTCTCCACAAATTGTTGTTCTGAGTCTAGGTGTTCTTTGTGTCCGTTTAGTGTAACTATGATTGTAAAATCCCCCGCGACACAGGATATACACCTACTGCCGGAGTTGTCTTTTTAAAATAAGAAGAATAAGAAATGGTTTGGTTATCTGATTTTTACCCATAATCAATTAAGTTTATAATTTATCATGTTTAGTTGAGCTGTATGACTTGCACTTGTGAGACTTGATTCACCATGGAAGAACCGTGCTTCTTCACGTTGATTTTTTTAAGTTGTAGGTTACCAGGGCAGTGTGACCACTGCCCTGGTAACTACTACGACTACGACTACGACTACTACTTCTACGTATCTTTACAGTATCTTAACAGGTTAACATAAAGATTTGACCTATACAGCTTTTTATAGCTCTTTGCACATAACGTTTGACTTCAGGATTGAAATATTTCATTTCTGCTTCGTGGTCTTCTCCCACATGTCTACTTTACTTAAATATATTAAATTTAAAATTTCCCCGTGCATGAAATTTGTTTCGAAAGAGATATAAAGAATTCGTTTCATATATTAAAATATAGATAGTCTTGTATGACATTACTTGGTCATACAAGACTATCTACACACTGTCACACAAGTTATGATAGGGTTTGTTTTGAATATACTTACAGAATATGTACGTTTTAGCTTCGCTTATTTTCCTTATAAACCAGTTAATATTTCTACTCCCCAAAGCTATCTGGATTTAATTCACAATTTTATGGGCCATCCCGCATGGTGCAAACTTGAAGTTTGTTAGTTATGGAGAAAAAGAACTTTATTTGTTTATATTGAAGATATTAAGTAACATATATCTAAGAACCTTTATTACTTTGTTACATAATACTTATCAAACAACAAAATATCTAAGAAAACTAAGTATTGAACATCGAAACAGTATCATTACTTTCCTAGAATTTGCCTCAAAAGGCACTACTGAATCTCTCAATCCGACTTCAAAAGATGTTTATCACGAACAAGTCTTAGGGATACGACCCTAAACACGTCACAACTTCGGAATATAGTTCGCCCAGACATTTGACACGTTTTACCGACATCGTGATAACAAAAGTCAATCTTGTTTCGGTCTCTCTAAGTGTTACACAGAGCTAAGGAAATATAGAATTGTGTATTAGCAGCGCATAGATTTTATTGTTTATAACTGTATATGTATTAAAATTTATAGTAACGACCCTTTTTTTTTTCCGTGAGGAAATCCCCTCGGATACCACCTGTCGGTGGCATGTCGGACTCAAACCGACTAAAACCGCACGCCGTCTCGGGTACTAATAGCCGGGGAACCAGGTATACCCTAGAAAGGAAGTCCCTGGTGCCCCGACATACCTCGGGCCATCTATAACAACCGGTAGACGACCCCCCCCCCCCCCCCCCCCCCCGTGTGGGAACCCCATGTTCCCTCTGCTCCCTGGAAGCGAGCGCGCTTCGCAACGCGCTCGCCGCCACCCCGGCCTGCTTCTGCTAGGGTGACAGATGGCCTCACCTGTCACCCCCAGGCCTGCGCTTATGGAGGGCGGAGGTCGTTCTGCGACCTCCGGCGCCTGAGTCGCCTGCGGTACCTGGCCCGTTCGCGGGCCTGGCGGGCCGGGAGAGTCCTAAACCTCTCCCGGTCCCGCCTCTCGAGCCAATCCTCCATAACGGGTCCTACCGCCGCGATGACGGCGTGCCCGTATATAGTAACGACCCTAGAAAGAGAGAGTAATAGTTGTAAAAAATATTTTTAAATACTTACATGTGTGCCATAACACTTATCTTTTCGATTTAATAAAATCCACATCAACTATGTTTTTATGTTTTAAATGTACCTAAAGCATTCATATTTTTAATGTGTGTATGCTACATTGATGGTCATGGCTAGGTCCTGTCTCTTTCAAGTCAAGTTGTTACTATAATTAATAATGCAGTTTAATTGCACAAAACATAGCTTACTCCATGTGGTGACGGATTAAGAATACGAAGTGTCACTATCCCTATTAATCCAGGTGAATAAGGGAGCAAACTAGGCAGGACAACAGCACTGCTTAAAGAAGGCAAATATGATACAAACTCTATACCAACCCGTCTGGCCAGCGTGGTATAGTAGGCCAAAACCTCCTTTCTGAGGAGTCGCCTATGTCCTGCAGTGTACTACTAAAGACTGTTGATGAGGATGATGATATCTTTAATAAATAATCATAAAGTAACGTTTATACAAAATTAATAATTTTCACCTATGAATGAATCACCTATGAAATTGAACATTGTTTTTATTAAAAAACACCCAAGTTCTATCATGATTTTGATTACACACCCGACTTTGACAGCTTTTATCCATCTTGCTTTAACTTTCATTGACACTTCTAATATAATTATTAAATTTTAAAAAGTATCGTCGTTTTATCTGCTAATAAGCAGTATTCTTCACTGTCTAATTTTCCATTCTTAGAGGTTTAGGAATATTTTGTTTCATTTAAAGTGGCATAAACCATGAATACAACTTATTCAATCGAAAAAATGTATCATTGTAGTCAAAAAATCATTGTACACCTTTAAGGAATGTTAATAATAATTTTAGTGTGAGTCCTGTTTACTTGATGAAATATATATAATAATTATTAATATTTCACTTCATAAACTACAAAGAGTACCTGGTGTTTTTTTTTTGGTAAATTTCTAAAAATGTAACCTAGCTAGACCGATTAATCGCTTTGAAACCCTCTGCATACTAAATTTCATGAAAATCGTCGTAGCCGTTTCCGAGATATATATATATATATATATATACAATAAATAAGAATTTCTCGTTTAAAGGTATTAGATATAGCGTAGAGCAAAGAAGTAAAATGAAATTGAGAACTTCCTGAAACAAGTGGCAATTGCAAATAAGTTACAATTTTATGATACTTATACTCGTAGTATAAAACAGGATACAATATTCTTATTGATTAAATGCAGGACACAAGTTGAGTTTTCTGTGTTACAACACTGTTCTATCGTAATTTACTTCTGTGTAAACGTCCCTTCGGGGTCTAAAGTTTCAAGATAGAGATGTATTGCTGGAAAACTAATCTCAAAATTGGATACTTTGGGAACTCCAAGTTTGTAGTTATAATCTCGGAAATAGGTATCAATACACACCTTTTGGGCTAAGTGGTTTTACTTTGGGCACTCAACTGATTGCCTACGCTATATTTGATTTTTATTTCTAGGTCAAATCGTTTATTGAAATCGTTAGAAAGGTCGAGGCTCTCCAAAAATGTATGAAAGCATTTACTAAAGGTGCCTACTAATGGCTATGATTCGTATAGAAACATTTAATTTTGATGAATTTAGATCCAGATCTTTTCTTCAATGCTTTTTACAAGAGTAGTCAGAGGCAGCCTTTGGGGGTGGCGAGCAGGGCAACTGCCCGGGCCACGTTCATGCAGGGGCCTCGCGCACTCGTGACCCAAGTAGAAAAATATGTTTATTTGATTCATAAAACTTACGTCACGCTACTCACACTCTCTTGCGTGGTAGTAATCATGGTGTTTGCGATTTACGTTCAGAGATTTCCCATGTTTCATTTCGCCTGTCATTTTGACAGGCTGTCAGTTGGCAACTGCCGTCGGCTTATGGTTATGTTTCAAGTGTCATCATTAAAACTAATTCCACAAAGACAAGGACTTCACAGTGTCCTACCGCCAGATACCTGTACCTAGTACCTACCCGGGTACCTACCGGGTCAAAACAACAATTCTCGGCAAACGCAAAGTGTTGTTCTATGTGGGCATCGGACCACACTCAGCACAGTAGAAAGCGGCGCAGCCAAGGTGACCGCTTAAACCACTACGCCATCTATACAGTCATTATACGCTATACACTAGACGATTGAGTTACGCCGTTATCCCGTATCCTTACCGGAAAATAGCATTTTTAGGGAAACCACGTATACCGAAATATTATAAATGTAAAGCAAAACCTTACTTAAATACAAAATTAAATTCAAATCTTTAGAGCGCCATCCGAGACGACTAACTAAATTTATATTTCAATGTATGTACAAGAACGGCTCGTTTAAAATTATTAGGTTCACAAATTTAGGTCAGTATTTTAGAGATAAAATGAAGAATTCCTATCTTCAGAATTTGCTGGGTAGACATCAGTCGAATTCCAGTGTAGATTGATTGATTCGGTTTTAATTACTCTTCACTGGACTGAATTTGATGTTTGTATTATCTATCTATACAAATAAATAAAATTGGAGTGTCTGTTTGTAATATTAAAATAACCGCTTTTTACTAAATGCATATGTATGTTTACACGGTACATATGCCAAAATAACATTTTTTTCAATTTTTGTCTGTCTGTTTATTCCGGGTAATCTCTGGAACTGGCAGATAGCTGATGACATAAGGAGTAACTTAGGCTACTTTTTTTAGACTAGCTTCGCCCCGCGGCGTTGCTCGCGGTTATAACAACAAACGCGGGTAACACCGCGGGTCTCAGCTAGTGTATATATATTTATATATATATATATGTATATTGTTATCTATATCTATAAAATAATAAATTGACAGACTGATTCACTGACTGATCGATCAACGCAGAGCTGAAACCGCTGGGTCTAGAAGCATGAAATATCTGCCCCCTCTAACAAAAAAAAAATCACAAACGTTCCTTAGATGACGTAGGTGTGCACTTAAAATGATTTTTAAAACCTCCACCCCTAAGGGTGCAAAATAGGGGTTGGCAATTGATATGAAAGTTTGTTATTTTTGGTAGTAACGTATCCTCTACAATGTCTGATGTCGCTGGCAATAATATATATAGGTGTTAAATTCGTGTCTTAGCTAGGCTACAGTCAAATAAAAACTTCGTTTATAAAATACTCGACACGTAATTTAATGTAATTGTTAATAATAACTGTATGCGCAGTCGCAGCTGGTTAGAAGCCGAGTCCCGGCGGCGATTCTCATTCGCAATGTCCCTCGCTGCACCCCGCACGTCGCACCCTCCCCCGGACAGACCCGGCCGTGGGTGCGCGTAGACATAGGTATAAATCATGGGTAGTAATTGTAGCAAAACGTAACAACGACTATGTCCCAGTGGCGGATTAGCCACGTAGCAAGAGTAGCAAATGCTACGGGCCCCGCGAATTTGGGGGCCCCCGCTCTTTCTGACCGTAAAAAAGTATGTAGTGCCATTGACTGGACAGCCCCGTGTACAGCTGTCTTGAAACGATGCTGGTTGGGCAAAAGTCACTTAAGAGCAGACGCAGTTTTAGGGTAAGCTGTCGGGAGTGCTCATCGAAGAGCCATCTCCCGTCAGGTATTAGGTCCATATCCTTCATCTGGGCCTGAACCGGTACGTTGACCAAGATGACCACGATTGAGGCGCCAGGGGGTGGACTACAACTAGGCCCAAGAAATAAGAGGCCTTCGTCTTATCCAGGACCACCTTTAAGACAACCACCAAAGAGACACCCCAGGTCCCCCTCCTACCCACAGACAACCAAAGTGTCGTTGGAGTAACAGATTACGCCCAGCCCGGGGGGGGGGGGGGAAGTCTCCTCGAAGGGCCTAGTCGTACCCTATGTTCCACAGAGAGGGTCCAAGGCCAGAGCCCTGTTCAACACCAAAACCTATAGGGTTTGTTTCTTGAAACTTAAAACAAGCCCAAGTAGGGTTTGTTTCAAAGAACAATGGCAGAAACATATTTACCTAAAACTTAAGCGTTTAAAAAATCGAGTCACAGTAAACTTAATCAATATTTTTTCTATGATTTATCATTACACCACCATGTGTTGTATAAGTCTTATAAGAGATAAGATATTTTTGAAGATTTTATTTGACCTAAGTACGTAATGTCAGATTCGACTAGGGATGCGTGGTGGCAATATTATATCATAGAAAATTTTATCGATAATCGATTCTTATAGCTTTGGCTGAAATATTTACCGAAGGTTCACCTATTATGATTATGAATTTGCTTCTGCCCACGTCTTCACTCGTACGGTAGACTGACTGAATCAACATAATTAGAAATTATTTAAAATATTTTTGACTCTCTTTAAACGATT